AGACTTCCTCACAGTTCACTCACAGACGAAGCTCCCGCCTGAGACTTCCTCCAGGTGAGTATATGAATGAGTGAGCGTGTGACAGAGTGCGAGTGATGATGATGATGATGATGATGATGATGAGTATGTGAGTGACTGAACGTGTGAGAAAGCGCGAGTGATGATGCTGATGTTGATGATGAGAGAGTGTGAGTGAGTGTGAGTGTGAGTGAGTGGTGATGATGATGAGTGAGTGAGTGAGTGTGTGAAGGCAGAAGAGGAGAGGGGGTGGGGTGAGTGTTCCTGCGCGGGGTGTGCAGAGAAAACAAGAACCCCACTTTGGATGTGGGGAACTAAACGGATTCGTCTGGCTCAGGCCAAGACTTAAACCCAGGGGGGAGCTTACCTGCAGCGAGGGCACACAGGACCCTCCCCCCCCAGGTGCCAATCTGATCAGGTCGACACGGTTTGCCGAGCTTCACAAACTCCCCCCTCGTGCCGGTCGCCCCGCACAGCTGACACCAGAAAACCCCCTGGCAGAACTCCACCTTATGGAAGAAGTCGAGGCCAGCGGGGACATGGGCACAAGGGGAGGCTAACCATTCACACACCTTGAGGTCAAATGAGGGCCGAGTGAGACACCTCAAGCACTTGATGCCTTGAGTGTCGTACCCGATCCTATGGGTCGTGGCCGCCTTAGCTTCCTCCACCCTCAAGGCCCGATCCTTCCCCCGAAGCTTAGCCTCGGTGGCGCGAGCGGCGTTGGAGCTGGGCCCATGCAACTCTGGGGCACGAGGCGCGACATGCAGTGCCGCAGTAATTAAATGCTTCTGCACTCTCAGAGTCAACTCGTCAACCCGAATGACCTCATTGACAGCGCGGTCAGGCAATTGGCACTTCTGAGCTCCACAATCCGCTGCCTTGTCGGCAGCACCGTTGGCAAGCCACAAACCCAAGGGTGGTCCATCCACTCTCTCTGGGGCCGGCCTCGTGTGGCTCTTAACCTTATGCATGACAATGGAGCGGCCCTGCGCGTGTGCGCGTGCGCGCGTGTGCGCGTGCGCGCGCGTGCGCGCGTGCGCGCGTGCGCGCGTGCGCGCGTGCGCGCGAGCGCGCGTGCGCGCGTGCGCGCGTGCGCGCGTGCGCGCGTGCGCGCGTGCGCGCGTGCGCGCGTGCGCGTGTGCGCGTGTGCGCGTGTGCGCGTGTGCGCGTGTGCGCGTGTGCGCGTGTGCGCGTGTGCGCGTGTGCGCGTGTGCGCGTGTGCGCGTGCGCGCGTGCGCGTGCGCGCGTGTGCGCGTGTGCGCGTGTGCGCGTGTGCGCGTGTGGCGCGTGTGGCGCGTGTGCGCGTGTGCGCGTGTGCGCGTGTGCGCGTGTCGCGTGTGCGCGTTGCGCGCAGTGTGCGCGAGTGCGCTTGCGCGCTTGTGCGCGCCGGCGTGCGTGCGTAGCGAGCGACGTGCGTGCGTGGCGTGCCGTGCGTGTGTGTCTGTGTGAGTCTGTGTTGTGTCTGGTGGTGTCTTGTGTGTCCAGTGTGTATCGTGTGTCGCGCGAGTGCGCGTGTGCGCGTGTGCGCGTGTGCGCGTGTGCGCGTGTGCGCGTGTGCGCGTGTGCGCGTGTTGCGCGTGTGCGCGTGGTGCGCGTGCGCGCGTGCGAGTAGCGACGTGCGCGCGTGCGCGTGTGCGCGTGTGCGCGTGTGTGCGTGTGCGCGTGTGCGCGTGTGCGGGTGTGCGCGTGTGCGCGTGTGCGGGTGTGCGGGTGTGCGGGTGTCCGCGTGTGCGCGTGTGCGCGTGTGCGCGTGTGCGCGTGTGCGCGTGTGCGCGTGTGCGCGCGTGCGCGTGTGCGCGTGTGCGCGCGTGCGCGCGTGCGTGTGTGCGCGTGTGCGCGTGTGCGCGTGTGCCTGTGTGCGCGCGTGCGCGCGTGCGCGTGTGCGCGTGTGCGCGTGTGCGCGTGTGCGCGTGTGCGCGTGTGCGCGTGTGCGCGTGTGCGCGTGTGCGTGTGAGTTGCGTGTGGTGTCGTGTGTGTGCGTGTGTGTGCGTGTGTGTCGTGTGTGTGCGTAGTGTTGGTGTGTGCGTGTGTGAGCGTGTGTGTGTGTGTGTGTGTGTGTGTGTGTGTGTGTGTGTGTGTGTGTGCGCGTGTGTGCGTGCGTGCGTGCGTGCGTGCGTGCGTGCGTGCGTGCGTGCGTGCGTGCGTGCGTGCGTGCGTGCGTGTCTGTGTGTGCGCGCGTGTGATGTGGTTTGACGCGGTGTAGCGTGGTGGTGGTGGGTGGGGTAGTGCGGTGGTGGTGGCGGTGCGCGGTGGTGGTGCGCGTGCGTGCGTGAAGCGTTGGTGGGTGGAAGTGGCGGTGGGTGTGCGTGCGGCGGGGCGGGGCGTGGTGCGGCGCGGTGGTGGCGGGCGGATGGGCGCGCGAGAAAGAGGCCCGTGCTGGGGCGAGAACGCCATCCTGAACGACGGAGGCCAAACACCGATCCGAAAATGAGGCCCACGCTGCAGCGGGAGCACGATTCGGAACGATTCGGGAGCAGAAATGAGGCCGGCGCCTCAGCGAGAGCAGCATTTTGAAAATTAGCCTGGCGAAGGACCCAACCATATGCAGTTGAGAGTACCGCAATTGTGAATATCTTCTTCGGTTCGTGATGGCGCTGCCGCCTAAGGGTAGGGGAGCACGCAATGCGAACACCCCCACTGGGGCTACGGTGGACTTCCTATGGGGCTACGAACTCGGCCCCTGGGTGGGGGAACCGCAAAAATGCGGGCACCCCGCACGTGGTGCCTTCGGTGAGCACCTATGGGCACGAAGCGCAGCTGGGGCCTTCGTGGAGCTCCCTATGGGCCTACCCCAGCGCTGCCAGCTGGGTGGGGGAAACCGCAATTCGGCTGTGCCACTCGTGACCTACGGTGTAGCACCCTATGGTGCCATCGAAACTCTGCCCTGGGTGGGGGAACCGCATGCGGGCTGTGCCACTGTGACCTTCGGTGGAGCTCCCTATGGGGCCACGAAACGCTGCCCTGGTGGGGGAAACGCATGCGGGCTGTGCCACTGGGAGCTTCGGTGGAGCTCCCTATGGGGCTGCGAAACGCTGCCCTGGGTGGGGGGACCGCATGCGGGCTGTGCCACTGGGACCTTCGGTGGAGCTCCCTATGGGGCTACGAAGCGCTGCCCTGGATGGGGGAACCGCATGCGGGCTGTGCCACTGGGACCTTCGGTGGAGCTCCCTTTGGGGCTACGAAACGCTGCCCTGGGTGGGGGAACCGCATGCGGGCACCCCCACGGGGGCCTTCGATGGAGCTCCCTATGGGGCTACGAAACGATGCCCTGAATGGAGGAACCGCATGCGGGCTGTGCCGCTGGGACCTTCGGTGGAGCTCCCTATGGGGCTACGAAACGTGTGAGGGGTGTGCCGAGAGCAGAGGCAAGGAGGGGGAGGAGGGAGGAGGGCGAGGAGAGGGGGGAGGATGAGGAAGAGGAGTGGACGGGGTCGCTGACACTTCAAAACGAGACCCCACACCAACAGATTGTTGGGAAAAACACATGCTAAAACCCAACTCCCCGGGACCCTGTGCGTGAAAAACAATAACGCGGGAGGCTCACGATACTCCCCAGCACGCCATCAGGGAAGAGGGATAAGTAAATTCAAATTTGGTAATTGAAGAGGAGAGGTAGTGGGGGAGGGACAGGAGAGGGGGGCGGGGGGTAGTTGAAAAGGAGAGAGGGGGGGGGACAGAGACGGGAGAGGGGTGGGAACATGAAGAGGAGAGTAGTGGGAGGGGGGGAAAAGAGAGGAGGGGGGGGACACGAGAGATGGGAGGGGGGACGAAAGGAGAGGGGGGGGGGACAGATAGAGGGGGAGGGGGACAAGAGAGAGAGAGGAAAGTCGCTAAGGATATAGGGGGGAGAGATACAGGAGGGGGGCAGGAGAGGGGAAAGTGGGGAGGAACAGGAGGGAGAGGGAAAAAGAGAGGGGGGGGAAGGAAAGGAGAGAGGGGGGGGGACAGGAGAGAGGGGGCGGGGGACAGGAGAGAGGAGGGGGGGTGGGGAGGGGGGGCCGGGATCATCACCATCTCCATCACCATCACCATGACCATCGTCACATCACCATCGTCATCATCATCATCATCATCATCATCATCATCATCATCATCATCATCATCATCATCATCATCATCATCAGCGTCATCAGCATCATCATCAGCATCATCATCATCAGCATCGTCAGCAGCAGCATCATCATCAGCAGCATCATCGGCATCATCATCAGCAGCATCATCAGCAGCATCATCAGCATCATCAGCATCATCAGCATCATCAGCATCATCTTCATCAGCATCATCATCAGCATCATCAGCAGCATCATCATCAGCATCATCATCAGCATCATCATCATCATCATCAGCAGCAGCATCATCAACATCATCAACATCATCAACATCATCAACATCATCATCATCATCATCATCATCATCATCATCATCATCATCATCATCCGGAGCGTCCCGGCTCGGCGGCACTGGCCGGAGGCTACTACAATATTAGACCTCGTGGTGGCGGCAACCGTGCACTTCAAGCGGGCTATCTGAGCTATAATCAAACAGGGCCGTCGTACCGAACGACTACAAGCACTTCAACAGTGTGTTCTAAGCAGAACGCAGACATGTATGAAAGCTGCTGATGGCGAAATGATGATGGCGCCCAAAGGAAGTCCCTCCTGAAGGCGAGGCATCACTTCAGCAAGATGCAACTGCCCAACTCCACAAAACCACCGTATGGTGATGCGGGAGCTCGCCAAGTGATTCAGCGACCATCCACAGGAAAAAAGAGAAACAGTAACAACAACAACAACAACAACAACAACAACAACAACAACAACAACAACAACAACAACAACAATACATGCTGAAGGCCGCGTTCGGTCGCAAAGCGTCCCGCTCGAAATTGAAGATTGCGTTCAAGTCGCAAGGGTCTCAAGGACTAGAGACAAGCTTACAATGCCCTCCACCCCCCCCTCCTCCTCCTCCTCCCCCTTCACCTCCTCCATCAACTTGGCCACTGGGACGTAATGCGCAGACTCAGCCTCCAACACGCTCCACGCGCCGTAGCCACTTTTCAAATGCTCGAAGCCGTGAGATCCACCAGGACCTAAGAAGCGGACCACGAGTGGGGCGATCCTGGACAATAGAAGGAATGGCATGGGCGGGCCCGCCACAAAATCAAGCCTCCAGGTGCTGGCGAACGTGCACTACGACGCCATCACTGCCAAGATTAACACGCCTGCTGAGGTAAAATCTCGGCAGGCGGAGACCCGGCTGGCTTTCACCGAAGACATGTGAGTCATCCGTGCACCTCACGACGATATTCCCGTCACAAAAAAACTCAAAGTCAGCCCTCTAAATACAAGCGAGCGAACCATTCAGGCGCGTTCCTCGCGCCATCCGCCACCGTGTCCCTGGCCATTCATGGACACTATGCTGAGATGAACGTTGGCGTTGCCAGAGCCTCGCAACTTAGCAACTGGTTGCTCAGTAGATTGCAACTAGAACTGATCTCGACGCATGGTGGATGCCTCTTTGGCACTCGACTGGGGCCCCCGTGGGCTCTGGCGACGCCCTAGAAGAAATCGCAAGCACGACGCAACTAGTTTTAAATGAGGTCGCTGCTCCGCGAGTCGCAGGCTGCACGAGAGTTGCAATAGAACGATGGATAACAAACACAAGCGCGGCGATCCCAGACAGGGCGAGCATGAGCGGGGACGTCAAACTGTGAAACCCACCAGGACTACTGCGTCAACTGTGCACCTCACGACAAGGCCCGGGTCAAAAAGGGCCCGCTACAGGATCATATCTGCAAGCTGCGGCGAGCGTACACTTCAGGTGGGCCCCACACGCCATGCTTCACCGTGTCCCATGGCACGTTGGGGCTTGCTAGAATACCAGATGCCATCTGGTAGGGTCTACGTGCGGCTGCCCATGCGAGGCTCGCAGATCCGCATGTCGAGTCTCCTCGTGTAGGGAAGGTCTTCGAGAGTCGCAGGTGCCGATGCCGAACTCTGAGGAAGCTGGAGCGCACAGGGCCTGCGGATCAGGCCGCCGGAGCCCGGCACGGCCCCGCCGTGGCCCACTCCGCAGGGGCGCCCGCGGGTCGTCCTGGGAGTCGAGGGCTGCCTCGGTGCGGGCGCCACGCTGGATGCCTCCGCCCACGCCAACGCTGGCCTTGGTCGCTGCTCGCTGACGGGAGGGAGACTGTCGCCCGCAAAACTCGACATCCCTGCAGTGCCTGGACTGGGGGTGCTGCAGTGTTGTGCAGGGATACCTCTGGATGGTACCCAAAAAATCTTCGCCTAAATGCTGAGCCAGAAACAGCTTGAGCAAAATGGCTACGGACCGAGCAAATGCCCAGTCATGAAACACGGAGCCACCCGACGGCGACTGAGAATGGACGAGGCCCTAGCCGCGGCGAGAGGAGACATGGGCATGTCGGGGCCGCCGCGCTGACACGAGCAGACAGCCTCCAGCCCACCCGCCCGCGCGAATCAGCACTTCTCAAGCCCCCGTCGCCTTCTGCAGAGCCTCCTCGCATGAGCTTCGGGCTAGGAGGATCCAGAGGAGCAAGAGGCGGAGGAAGAGGAAGGGAGGAAGAGCAAGGGAGGGAGGAAGAGGGTAGAGGCTACAGGAAAAGAGGGAGGAGTAGAGGTAGACACGGAGGGAGGGACGGAAGGAGGGAGGGAGGGGAGGAAGGAGCATTTGCCATGTGCGGTTTTGCATGATATTCACCTAGAATGAGGCGAGGAACTTGCAAAAAGGCGCAGTCCAAGGGCTGTGGGCTGTGAACCAATTCCCACCCAACAGGCAACCCTCGTGATAGCGCGCACGGGGACACACGCGGGCCGGGCCGGAGAAAGCCATGGGCCAGCTCGCCCTTCCTGTGCATCCCGGGGGGGAGCCTGCGCTGGCGGCGCTCGCTGCCCGTTGGCACCCGCCGTGGCAGCGGTTGCTCAAGAATGAAGGAAAATCAAACGATGACCATCGCCAAGACTGAACGCGGAAACTTTGTGCCGATCTCGGTCACCGTCTATCTTGGTCAGCGTCAACTCATGGATCATCCTCGCGGATCGGCGGCGGCCAGCATGGACCTCGTCAGGATCGACGTCGTCGAGATCCTGGCACATCCTGGTCATGGTCAATATGCTCTTTCCCTCGCAAGAAGGTCGCCGGCGGCCGACCCACTGCTCGGGCGGTGCACATCTGCTTCCGTCCGCCTCTACATTCCCCGGGACGACCCGCCAACGGCGAAGCGGCGAACCGCAAGGCACCCCCACCGAAGGGTTCAAGAAAGGGCGTGGATGAACATAAGTGTGAGTGGCGATTCTATTGACAGTGATGATGGTGATTCTGATGATGAGGACATTGACGACGACGATCGTGATGATGATGGTGATGCCAATTGTAGTCTGATGGTGAGGAGGTTGGCGATGACGGCGATGATACCGATGATGATGCTAACTCAGCTGGTGATGACGATCTATGTTAGAATGCAGACCAATATCATGTCTGTACATGCGGATATTGATGATACCCGTGACAGTTATGATTACCACTTTGTTGTTCCTGCTGAGAGTGTGTGTATGTGATTGCGGTTATGTTGACGGTGGCGATGTGATGATGTTGATGAGAAGGGGTGCCATGCGGGACGATGGGACGACGTGAGGAGGATTATGATGCTGACTACAATGATACTGATGGTGTTGATGACGAGGGCGATGTCGACGACGCCGACGGCAACGACGTCATCGCCCTGATGATGCTGATGATGATGCTGATGCTGCTGCTGCTGATGATGCTGACGATGATGATGATGCTGAGGATTAGCATGTGGATGATGAGGACGAGGATGATGCTGCAGATGAGGATGAGCATGATGATGAGGACGAGGACGACGACGGCTTTGACGATGACGACAACGATGACGATGTTGATGACGATGTTGATGATGATATTGATGCTGATAATGCTGATGCTGATGCTGATGATGCTGCTGCTGATGATGATGATAATGCTGATGGTGAAGAGGATGATGCTGATAAGGATGATGGTGCTGATGATGATGCTTATTATGCAGATGATGGCGATTATGATGATTCGGACGACGTTGACGATGATAATAATGATGCTGATGATGATGATGATGATGCTGATGCTGATGCTGAGGCTGATAATGCTGATAATGCTGATGATGACGATGATGATGATGATGATGATGATGACGATCTGATCGGGATGGGATTGGGCGGTGGAGTGGAGTGGCGAGGGAGTGGCGGGAACGAAGACGCCGACTCGATGAGGAGGATGTGCCGTGCAACTGCCGTGGACGTCCCGCGTGCCGGCTTCCTCCGACGTCAGCCCTGCGGCGGCGCCCGCGGCTTCCAAAGAAAAGGACGAACAGTAGGGAGGACCTCCTCGTCCTCCTCCTCCTCCTCCTCCTCCTCCTCCTCCTCCTCCTCCTCCACCCCTCCTCCGTATCCTCCTCCTGCTCCTCCTCCTCCTCCACACCTCCTCCTCCTCCTCCCTCCTTCTTCTCCTCCTCCTGATCCTCCTCCCCGGTCTTTCTAGCCCCAGTCTGCCGCCAACGGCCCGACGATCCTCCGCCTGCGCGTCTGGCCCCGAGTGACTGCTGCGGTGGCACAGGGGGGATATCGGGGCAGCAGAGTCGAGCGAGCGCACCCGCAGAGGAGCAGGAGTACAGTCCACCCGCAAAGTGAGAGTGAACAGCTTTCCACGGTTGCCCTTGCATCCTGCCCCTTCGACCCATGCTTGGCCGCTCTCGCTGGCTGCGTCCCGCCCGCAACGTGTCGACATGGCCTTCCAAGGCCCTTGCATCCTTACCGCGCATCCTTGTTATACGGCTTGACTGTAGTTGTCATATTGCCGCCCCACAAAGACGTCGGTTCGTGTACGCGCGCGCGCGCACGAACGTGCACGCGTTCGTGTGCAGCCACAGCCGTGGTGGCCGAAGGCCGTGACTGGCCGGCCCTCCTCACCCCCCCCACCCCCACGGAACCCCCCCCCCTCCCCCCCCCCTCCCTTACTCCCCCCATGCGAACGACCCCCCCCTCTTGCCCTCCCCCCCCCCACCACTCCCCTCCCCCTCTCTCCCCCCCCCCTTTCCCCCACGCTTCCCCCTACCCTCACTACCCTCCCAGCGAATGCACCCCGCGCCGTGTGGCCGTGCTTGGATGCTTGCTGGAGCTGCCAGAGCCAGGCCTGTGGCCCCCTGCCGCGGACGCTACGTGCTGGCGCGCAGGATCTGGCCGTGGTGTCCGTCGGCGCAGACGCGCCCGGTCGCTCGTTGGCCTGTGGCCTGCTGGGTGCTGCAGCTGCCCTTCTTGCACGGCCGAGGCGGCCACACGCGGCGGAGCACACGCCGGTGGCGTGCCTCGGAACCAGCGAAGAGGCCCGCCACCGCTCCGCCCTGCTGGTCCGAGGGCCCTCCTGAGCTTTCTCCTGAGGGGCCATGTTCTCAGATTTGACTCACTGCCCTTCTCGGGCTCCGTTGCCCTCTTCCAGGCCTTCCAGACCCCTTGCTGGTCCCAGTCGGGGGCCTTATCAGGGCGATAGCGGGGAGCGGGCCTCTAAGAGTGCACAGCCGGTGCCCATCGGCCTGGACAAGGTGCTGGTCCAGAATGGGCGCGCAGATGCCCCTTGGATCGCCAAGGACCGGCTCCTGAAAGATTATTCTGGAGCGTACACTACCGCCAGGACTGTCGACGGCTCCGCGGTGTTCGAATTGTCGATGCACTGCGCCCGGCTGCACGACACCGCGCTGGCTGTCTTCCAGAGAGAGCTGGCGGACTCGTCCAGGACTCTGGGACTTCGTTGCACCCGCCACTTCAAAGCCCCCACCCCCCTCCTGGGGTGAGGCCCAGGCAGGCCTCGGGCAAAATCCTGAGCGTTCTGGATCCCTCCGAGAGCGTTCTGGGATGTTCTAGAATCGCCCCAGAGACCGATGCGTCGTCCAGACCCGCCGGGTCTCACACATTCCTGACCTAATATGCCTCATTCTGAATTTCTCTCTGACGCAGGGGATAAGGAGGGAAGAGGGAGGCCTCGATTGCCTGGTGTCACGAGGGCTCTCAACAGGCCAGCCGCGGATGCCGCGGCGCGGGAGCGTGCGGTCAGCTTCTTGAAGGCAGCGGGCCCCTCGGCCCGAGGGCCTCAAGCCGCTCGTGCGCTCCGAGATCACCGCCATCCGGCACATCGTGAAGGCGCCCAGTGCCGCAAATGCCTCGGTTGACTATCAGGTGACATTGCTGCTGACGTGCGACACGGTAGGGGCCCACACCCCCGATGGCCGTGGCTTCGACCTCTTCGCGCTCGTGCAGCCGATGCTGAGCATGGAGGCCACAGTGTAAATGCATTTGCTTGGACACCGAAGCGCCAAGCAAATACATTTACACTGTGGGTGAAATTTGGTCCTTTCTTGAACCCCGAGATCGTCGCAGCCGAGTCCACAGCTACCTCCATGCCTCCCGTGGTGCACATAAGGGCTTGGATTATGGCCTCGAGCTCGGCGAGGGGCACCGACTGCTTAAACCCTGGGAGAGAACCATGCCCCCAACCTAACTGTCGGCCCGCCCCCCGAATTATGGAAAACCCCCACCCACACCTTCTAAGCCTGTGCTCAGCCGAGTACGGTCCCCCGACCCGTCCGTCCCAACCACCGCGTCCCCCTCCTCCAGATCGATCGGCCCTTGGCTGAGGCTGGGGGAGAAAACTGGCTCATGCGAGGTGCCGGCGAGCGTCGGCCCTGACGTCCACCTCAAAGGGGGCGACCCCCTCAACCAAAAACATGGTTGCCCTTCCCATTCCTGCTCGGCCTGGGGCAGCATGTCGAGCGCCGCCCCCTCGATTTCCGAATTATAGGGGCAACTCCACATCTGATGGAACAGAGTCTCCGACTCCGCCCCGCACCTCGGGCAAGATGGAAGGCGGCGAGGCGTGCCAGGGGCAAGCGAGGCAGGCTCGGCCTCCTCAAGCCCGATCTGATCATCCCAGGCCTGCAGCTCCAGCAGGTCATCGAGACCGAAAACGTCGTCCTCCTCGTCCAATCCTGCGGCTACGGGCCGCCCCTCCTCGGGGCGCGGGTCGGGGCCAGCCTGCTCCTCGGGCGCCGGGTTGGGCCGAGGACCGCCGTCGCCGCCGCCGCCGTCGCCGTCGTGGGGGGGGGGCAGAGGAGGGTGGAGGCCCTCTTCCCCAAAGCGCCTGGCGGCTGGCCACAAACGACCCGTGAGCACCATCTTCAAGACGGCCGCCTGATCATACTGCTGCCTTCCCTCCAATCGCTTCAAGTGGCGATGGGCAACCGTGACATCAGCGCTGTGCTCCAACCCCCGACCGTGGTAGT